AAACATAAACTCTTATCTTAAACTTATACTAAACATCAAGTCTACTTTATTTTTACTTTTAAACTATTTCTCTAAACCTTTATTGCATTTGTCTTTTATGTTATTAAATTCTACTATTTTTGTTCAATGTTCAATAAAGTGTGACTGTTTTTTTTGTAATAAATTACCAAAAGAGACAAAGCTGGTATCTCCATCATTGAGAATCCATTGTTTATGAAAAGGCATCCCTGAATCTGATGATGTCACACTTTGTTAAATGAGCTTGYTTAAGGGGGAATAAAGTATTTAATAGTAAACACAGATATGGTGCTCCAACAGGTAAAAACAGTGTAGCAGAGTGCAGAAACAGTATCATCCTCCTGTTTCTGCCCTCAGTTCTCCTACAACTATTTTTATATTATTTACATCAAGTGGAGGTGATGATCACAGGTGGGCAGACATAAGCAGGTGAGATAAAACATGAACAGGACGTGCATCCATGGGATGCAGTAACAAGTTGAAATAATCTGATAAAATTAAATCAAATTAGTCAACTACTAAAACAAGCTGCAGGTGGGTTTGGTATTTTATTCTTTGTAAGGAGATTCCACAGTCTCATCTAGAAACAGATGAGGTWTAGGATTAAAGGGAATTTATCCCAAACCCCCACACCAGTTCATGTTTTTACAAAAAAACATTTGACCTTCATAGACAATATTTACACACACAACACTGTAAATACAAGAAGCATTTTGTACTCACAGCTCTCCAGCTGCATCTTACAGAGCTGTGTGTCCATGGGGAAGAGGGTGAGGTCCAGGGGACAGGACAGAGTCACTGACAGCCTGCAACATCAACACAGAAGGTTCCATTTTACACTGGAGTACAGGGAAGTTTGWTCTCATTAAATTACTCTGTGTAACGTTGTGTAAAAGTTGTTAACTAAAACACCACCAGATTTACACATTTAGTTGAGGGATGGACAGCCAGCACGCTGCAGCTGTGGGGGCAGGGATGGTACAGTGGAGGRTGATTAAGGTGAAGAAAATGGTTTGATTCAAACACATGCTATTTCCCACAGCAGGTCCCGCAGTGGGGTTTCTCCACACACTGCTGGTGTTTGTCTGTCCTCCATCTTCTTCTGTCCCTCTCCAGTCTGTGTCCTCTGCACAGTTTCTGCTCCTTTGTCTTCTCCGGTTGACATGAAATACTGTACCACAGTTCCWGGAAAGTTATTTATTCTGAGCTTTATCTCTGGTGTATCGATTCAAACACATCTGGTGGTGTTTCTGAAAACTCTGAAGTATTATTTTCCAGGTGCTGGTCCTGGACATGCAGCATGCTGAAAGAGATACAGAGGCACCAGGTCCTCAAAATGACCTTATAAATACTCAAGTACTGGTCCTGGACAGGTGRTAGTCCTGGGCAGGTGCTAGTCCTGGACAGGGACTGGTCCTAGACATATGCTGAAAGAGGTACTGAGGCACAAGGTCCTCAAACAGACCTTATAAATAATTGCAATCATGCTTCAATTCTGCAGMTCACAAGGTCTGCAGTATGCTTCGAATGACTTGATCCAAGGTTGACAGGCATAAATGGGCTTGGACCCTGGTCATAACTGCTTTGCAGTTCTAGCTGTTATTAGGGGTCCAAGTATGRGGAGCAGGGAATTGCAGCTGAAATGCAGCAGCGTTTCCATGCATCCAGCAGAGCATTTTATTCTTGTTCCCTTTTTTTTAAATTATTTTCCATTTGTTTTTATTTTTATTTCACCAGTAAAAATTATACTTCAGTCAAAACCATGTAGAAAACTATGTAGAAGATACTTTTTAGGTAGTAAATAGATCTTACATGTACAATGGAGATGAATAACCAGACATGRCAACCAGTAGGAGGCGCTATAATTAAGGTCTTTGCATTTGGTCCTTTAACTTCCAAACCCTATTTCACTAAATTTTGGGGGGCAAATCATCAGAATCTGTGGCATAAGCCATGCCCATTTCTGCCTAATTATTTTCTACACTGAAAAATTTGCAAAAACTACTTTTAGCTTCCATTCCAAGGTTTAAAGTTCACTTGCCAATGAAACTCACCATCCTAAATCAAGATGGCATACTTATTTGAAGGACAAGTAATACCTTTTTTAAAACGTTTGAGTTGTGCTTAGGCAAGCTGGCTAAACACAAATTCTGGCACATCTTCAAAACAAAAGCACATAATTAGATGAAAATTAWACTCCTGGGATGGGAGTCAGTTCTGATTTAGTGGGCCAAATCTGAAAATCACTGAGGCATGGGGGACACTATAAACCACAAAAACTTTTCACACAAAAATGGGTAATAGGATATTTATAAAACTTGGCATACACTRACAGACCCTGACTGTGAGCCTAAACCTAAAAAAACTATTATTCATAAAAAAGTAGGTTCTTTTCTGCCATAATTAAAAAAAAATCACTAAATCAGTCACGGGTCTGAAACAGTCAGAGATTTTGGGCTTATTTTCATTGTAAAAGTAGTGTACAGTAACTGATATATAACAGAAACAAAAATCTTTAGGTGGCACTAGTGTGATGTGTGAAATATTTTGATCTGTAACTCTTGTATTCTTAGGCAAGTTAACAAAAAGTGTGTTGCCTCTTAATTGTTGATTTGTAATATATTTTTTATAAATATAAGTTTGTTTAAAAAAATCTATTGTTGTTCATGCAAATTGGCAAGATATGCTAAACCTTTCAAATTCTTCTCCTCCAAAAGCAAAATAAGCATGAAAGTTATATAACACCAAGAGTAGTTGCTCTACAATAAATGTGAAGGAAAAGTTGTTTTTTCCATGAATTATGTTTACAGATATTAAAGCTAGATGGTTAGGATCAGTAAAAAACAATTGTATACATTTAACATATTCACTTCAAACTCATATACACCCGGTGGACCATTTTGAGCCCATTTTTCAAATTTCATAAAGAATACACTCTGGGGGGCACATAAAAGCACAGTGTTTATATCTCACAAATACTGAGCCCCTAAAGAGATACTGGATGAAAAAATTAAAAAATACTGTCTCGTTCCCACCAGTTAGAATCTCGTGCGCACCAGTTAGTATCACGTTCCCACAAGTTAGTTGTTCCCACCAGTTAGTATCTCGTTCCCACCAGTTAGTATCTCGTTCCCACCAGTTATTAAGTCGTTCCCACCAGTTAGTATCTCGTTCCCACCAGTTAGTATCTCGTTCCCACCAGTTATTAAGTCATTCCCACCAGTTAGTATCTCGTTCCCACCAGTTAGTATCTCGTTCCCACCAGTTATTAAGTCGTTCCCACCAGTTAGTATCTCGTTCCCACCAGTTACTAAGTCGTGCACA